GCGCGGGCCGCGCCGGGGCCGGGGCCGAAGAGGGCGTGGGCCTGTGAGATGAGGCGCTCGCGCAGGGCGGCGGCCTCTGCGGGCGCCATGCCGCGCACCATGCCCGAAAGCGTGGCGGCGGCCACGTTGCGCACCTCCAGCTGCGGAGCGATCACGTGGGGGTTTGGGGGCGTTGGTCAATCATTCACAAAGTTCTCAATCACGTGGTGGAGACGACTGCTGCAGAGCAGCGCCAAGTGACCTATGTACACGCCCTGCACAAATACGCACTTGCCAACACCCAAAACCCCAGACCCGACACGACACTAGCAGGACCAACATGACTCACAGGTAACACCAAAGCAGACCACGATCAGCAGACAACACTTTGCCGACAACAGGCCCCGTGGATACAGCCTCACCTCTCCACAAATACACTCACACAAGCACAAGCCACACACACACACACACACATACACAAAGGCAACAGCGCTGATACAAGCTCCTTGCACAAAAAACCTGAAGCCCACCTTCGGGTCCTGCAGCAGGCCCACCACCAGCCCCTCCAGCGCCTGCGCCTCCGCCGCCCCCAGCAGGAAGCAGTGCCTGAACCAGAAGCACGCCAGGTGCACCACCGCCGCCGCGCGCGTGCTCCAGTGCGGCGCGCCGCCCGCCGACGCGAGCGCGGCGACGCCGCCGGCGCACTCGGGGCCGGCAGAGACGGGGACATATTTCAACGCAACCGCCGCGCGCTTCGCGTCAGCGGCCAGCTGCTGCAGGCCGGGCGCTGACAGCATCTGCAGCGACAGCAGGCCCCTTAGCTGCGCGAGCACGAGCGGCCGCAGCGCGGCCGCGTCGGGGCTGTACGCGGCGCTCAGGATGAAGTTGAGGCCTACGCCGGCCTGCGACGCGGCGGCGCGGACGCGGGATTCGGACAGCTCCAACGCTGCCTGCTGCTGCTGCTGCTGCTGGGGGGCCGCGGCGGGCGGGCCGCCCGCGGCGGCGGCGGCGGGGGAAGGGACGAGCACCGCGTCGGACTCCTCGTCGACCGCCATGACGCTGCTGCCGCCGTTGCTGCCGTCCCCGCTGCCGCCGTTGCTGCCGCCGCCGCCGCCGTCGGCTGGCGCC